GCGTGGATTTTACTTTAGAATGGCATCTTAGTAGTTACGTTCTTGTCTGCAAAAGAACCTCTGGAGGCTTTGTAACTCTTATACTGAACTATATTTTCTGTTGCTTTTATGATTTGGTAGTGTATTAATTAATTTTTGCATATGAGAGAGCAGAAGTAGGAATTTGGTGGGAGAAAGTATGCAGAACTCTTGAATTCCACAATGCCCTTGAGAAAATTACATAGAGAATTGGAAGGCAAACATGTACAGTTGGTTTGCAGCATAGCTTTGTTTTTGTGGTAAATTTAAACCATGTAAGTCGGTCTTGGTGCTTTCTGTTTTAGATTGACATTTGTAATGAACATTATTGCAATAATAAAATTGGGAAATGAGATTAAGAAGTCTCAACTGATAGGTCACAGCTGTACAGGTGTTAAATTACTAAGAAATCAAAAAGTGAATAGCATTGTCTATTGAGAAGTCTGTGGACTTCTAGTGTAGCAAGTACTGCACAGTCTTTATGGTCTTTCTATCTCCTCAGCTATGGAGGTTACATAGCAGAATCTGCTCAGGGAGTGTTCTTACAAACATTGTGCTTACCAAAGAGCTGCTTACCCAGTAAGTGAATGAAGTCTTTTTTTTAGGAGGAAGAAGGGTAGTGTAGGCGCATGGATCTGACAGTGTATTTCCACCAAAAATGACATAGCTGGCTGCTCTTTGTGGTCACTGGATAGGGAACAGGACCCTAAGATGCATGGAAGCAGGTGGGAAGAAAGATACTGTGTTAAAAAAAAATTGTATTTTTTGCGCTTCAGTTAAGTTGATCAGAAATTCTGCCTTTCTGATGCTACACGTGTCTTCGTGATTAGTTAGAACTTACTAATTCTGCCTGTGATACAGATGTGGGTTCATTACTGTACAGTACAGTTCAGTTATATGCTTGAGCCTTAATTTAGTTCCAGAGATGAAAAAAAAAAAATAACCTAGCTAGTATCTTTACTTTGGTATGTTTTGCAAACAGAAGTTTAGGAATCAAGCAGCAGGCAAACATGGTGGCATGTGTAATTATGGAAGTTAGATTGACAATTGGTGTTTATTAGTTTGAGTAACAATCCTTAAATTAACTAATTTCTTCATTGTGGCTGAGTGCTAGGGTATAATTAGTTCATTCAGTACATTGTTACTTTTAAAGCAGCTCAGGTAGTAAAACCGATGTGTTCTGGTGAGATGTCTTCGTTGAGAAGTTTTTTTATCATGCTTATTTGTGTGATAATTAGTCTGTTGTGCCTGGTGCTTGAAATCAGATACTAGCTGAAATCATCCCAGTTTTTCTCATAGCTGAACCACTTGGATATAGCTTTTACTTGTCTCTACCCATTTTCATAAGGAGTGTAGGAAATAATTTATCTTTGAGATTTACACTTCTTCATCTAAGGCAAGTTTAATCCCAAAAATTTATGTAAAACAGAGCCTCAGGTTTGTAGGAACATACACAGACACTGTGCTTGCATATGTTTTTTGCCCATAGACAAAACTAGGATAAAAAGGTTGTTTAGCTGTGCAGATGCAGTGTTTAACTTAGAGCTCAGAATTGGAGAACGGGGGAGGTTAGAAGGGACCTCTGGAGACAGTTCAGTTTCCCTGCACAGAACAGGCTCCACTGCATTGGATGGCTCAGGCAGTGTTGAACTGGCTTTTGAGTATCTCCAGGGGTAGACACTCCACAACCTCTCTGGGCAGCCTGTTCCAGTATTCGATCATCCCTGTGCTAATTTTTTTACTATGCTTAAACAGAATTTAGTGTATTTGGTTTGTGCCTACTGTCAGTTATACTGTCTCTGGCCGCCACGGGGAAGAGTCTTGCTCTTTATAGCTAGTTATGTGAGGATAAGATAACAGAATCACAGACTCACTGAGGTTGGAGGAGACTTCTTGAGAACATGTAGCCCAACACCGCTGCTCAAGAAGGGTCAGCTAGAGCAGATTGATCAGCACTGTGTCCGTTTGGGCTTTGAGTATCTCTAAGGATGGAGACTCCACAGCCTCTCTCTTCTGGTGTTTGACCATGCTCACAGTGAAAAAATTGTTTCCTGATGTTCAGGAAGAACCTCTTTTGTTTCAGCCAGTGCCCATTGCCTCCAGTCCTGTCATGGCACTGCTGATAAAAGCCTGGGACCTTCCCCCTTGCACCCTCCTGCAGGTATTTATATACACTGATATGGTTCCCCCATTCCTTGTCTCCCCTAGTCTGAACCCTCCTACCTCCCTCAGAGAGATGCTCCAGTACCTTTCTGGGCCACTTGACTGGCTAGCAGCATTCCTCCAAATCCAGCTGAGGACACCTTTAGGCATCTTTGCTGCATGGGCACATTGCTGGCTGTGTTTCCCAAACCCTCCACCCTGCAGGTGGAGGACTTTGCACTTCCCCTTGTTGAACTTCACGAGGTTCCTGTTGGCCTGTTTCTCCAGCCTGTCCGGGCCCCTCTGGGTGTCAGCACAACCCTCTGGTATATCAGCTGATCTTCCCATTTTTGTACTGTCTACGAATATCACATTGAATTAATTGGAAATAGTTGCTGTGATTGGTCTTGGATAAAATTACATGTCTGGGAGATGTCGAAATAGTGAGAAAGCAGTTCAGTTATTAGTTAGCTGAACCAGTTTCAGCTACTGCTTGTTGCAGCATGTCCTTCTGCCCCCCCCCCAAATCCGTTAGTGTTTTAGGAATGCTTGACTTGGTTTGGGGACACTGAACTTAGTACTGGGCATGTTAAGTGGATAAAGCACGCTATTGAGAAGTTCATGTATCCACTATAGGAAAGAATATTAGTGGTGTAAAAGACAAATTCGTGAATGGATGCTGAAGTAACTTGCTTAAAAAAAAAACAAAACCTCACAAAAACCAAACTAATCAAAGAATAAGTAACACTCCTCCTCTCTGCCCTCTCTGCCTCCCCACAAAGCCCCCCAAAACTGCACTGACAATGTTGGGTAATACTGGAAGAGTTGAGAGAAGGATGTTAACCTGTATGCTATAATGAAATAACTGCTCACTGCTGGGTATCATCTTTTATACAGTCAGTGGAATGGATTAAAAACTGCAAAATGATGAATAATGAAGGACTATTAAATTTTTTTCCCAGTGGAGAAATAGCAGAGAGTTTTATTTATTTTTTTTTTTTTGAGGTAGGTAGTGTCTGTATGTATGTGTGTGTATTTCACTGATTTATATTCTTATTTAATACATATAAAAGTGTAAGCCTAAAACCTGATTTTGTACAGAGGAATAAAATACCCTGTTTGATTATATTTCTAATGTCACTTTACTGTCAGTAAAACATAAGTAGTAGACGCTGTCTGCTGTACTTCACAGTGAAGGAAAGCATAGCTTCATCTTTGGTCGTAAATCTGAGTTTCATTTTCCTGGGACTGGTCATAGAAGCAAGATTGTACATGGAACTTTAATGGATGGGAATAAATGAAGGGCGCGTTACATATGAGCCAAGTGTTTACTGCTGAGGGAAGTTATCCCACTTATACATGTTGAGGTGTGTTTGCCTATATGGACTTGATAATTTAAATGCAAAAATACTCCCAAATTAAAGTGGTACTGATTTTCAGAATGTTCGAGTTGTAGAAATATGGTACATTTCATGTTGAACAGGGTTGAAAGTAGTATAGGGTGAGGAATAGAACGTTACTGAAGGTGGGAGCATAGAAGTAGTTTAATCAAGTACTAGCTAGAGAGTGATGTGCTGGGTGAAGTGGGGAAGCAAAAAGAAGAAAAATCATGACACAGAAAGCAGGCTAAATGTTGAAATACCTGTTGGAGGGCGAAACATGGAAAGACATAAAAGCATCCTCCATGTAGAAATGGAAGTCACAGAGATCGCTGTCTTTATGTGTATTGCTTGTTATCAATATTCTAGCCAATTTTGGTTTAAAGTATAAATTTTATTAAACTGAGTAAGATATAGCAGATAAAACAGCGCTGGGGGCGCCGGGGAGCCCTCCCCTCCGCCCAAGACGCGCGCACGCGGTCCCTGGGAGGCGGTCCTTTATCTTCTCCGGTTCAAGGCCCCGGCCAATCCTGTCGCCCCTCCTCACTCGGATGTTGACATGGCTCTTCCCCATTGGTTCCCTTTGTTGCAGGGGTCTCATTACTGAAAAGTTTCGGGAAGTTTCGAGAAGCTGCCAGAGGCTTCGAGAAGCGTCCACTGCCAGCCTCCTCACCGTCGCAGCCCCCTCCCCTCAAGCGTTGCAACAAGACACCACTTCGAGCCACCCAGCCCCCTTTTCTCTCTCACAATCCCGCGCAACAATACAACTGACCTCCCCCCATTACCTACAGAGTACAACAGTTACAGAGTCAAAAGGAGTATTGTTTCACATAACGACAGCCACGGAGAGCCTCCCTTCCCCCAAACTTCTTGATGAACAAACCCCACACATTACATTGCTTGCATGCTTTGTTTCTGTTAAGGAGATTTCAGAGAATGAGGGCTAATAATAGTCCAGTTGTTAACCGGATACAAGAGCTGATACAAGAGTTAGGAAATCGAGGTGCTTTCTCTATGTTTGTAGTGTGACTGGGAATGAGTAATTGGTTTTCTCCATACACTAAATGGGAATGTTTTATCAAATGCGTAGCATTGTTACTTTAGATGGTGTCTGTGTAATGTAAATCTCTAGAGAGGAAAAGGCAGCAGCTTGCAGATGGATCGACACAGAAGATGCTACTGTGATATTAAAGGTTAACTAGAGGAAACATGCCATAAAAATGGAGGTATGGACTGGACTGTCGTGATAGTGTTTGTGCTGGGTAAGGGCCAGATATTCTTGAAGGAGTAAGGAGAAAAAGTATACATGTGTGCCTTTTATGGTAGCATGGGCAGAGGATTTTGAAAGCTTTTTTCCTGTTTGAAACATATGTCAAATCTCAGAATTTGTTTTACTGATAATTCTTTTCAGTGTGTTTATTTTGTTTTTTTTTTTTCCTTTTTTTCCCCTTCTCTTAAAAGCTGGATTGAAAGGAACTGCAATGTCTGCTGTCATCTCAGATAGTCCTCCAAACCCAAGCTGCAAAATCATGACTTTTAGGCCTTCGATGGATGAATTCAGGGAGTTCAACAAATACTTGGTGTACATGGAATCACAAGGTGCTCATAGGGCTGGAGTTGCAAAGGTAAACTTCTATAATGTAGAAGGAAAATGGTTCCTAATACTTGTTTTTTCCAGTATTTGTATTTTGCTGATTGCAAAACTGATCATTTGAGTATGTAGTTTTTTGTTTTTTTTTTTTTTTTTTTTTCCAAATTATTTTCAGTTAATAGATTCTGAACTGTTTTAAGAAAGGGCTTTCTGGTATCTCTGATGTTTCATGTAAACTAATGAAGACGATGTGTACTGTTTTCTGTCTAAAAATCAACTGTTCGCATGTTTACAACAGCAAAAGAGGATTTCTTCTTAAAGGCAGACTTAAACTAGTTTTTGGCAAATCAGAACAAAATAAATTGGAAAATCCAGATTTACCAGGTGTTGAACTTGGTGTTTTAGGGTTGTGTGTAACTTTACTGGAGCAAATAATCCAGCTATTGTTAATGGGTGTCTGCATGAAGGTAGTGTTTGATGAGATAGTGTTTGAATGGAAATAGTTTTCTTTTTAATGGTGATTGTCTTACACTTTTGTTAATGAGAATTTGAGGTGTACTAGCTATCATTGCATTGCCTTTGCAATCAGGGCTAGGAATATAATAAATAGATGACATTGGGAACCTTAGCTGAGCTTTTCCCAAATTCAGTTATATTATGGAACCTATTTATTTGTGTGGGGATGATCTATTGCAGTCCTCTCATCGTGAACAGTAAGCAGCAAATTCATCATAGTGACTTCTGCTCAACAGATTCACACCCTTAATGTGTATGTGAGCAGAAGATTCTAGGTATGTATCACGCTGTGAATTATGTACGTGGATCCAACTTGAAAAAAATATTCTTGTTTTCATATTGTTTATAATAATAGCTTTATTTAGCTGTTCATAGTTTCTAATCCCGTTTCCTGGGCATCTAGCAAAAAACCCAGGAAGTGCCTTATGACCAGCTGGGGAGATGATACTGATCCTATTCTATTTTTGTCCATTTTCTCATGTTTAATGTGCTTGCTTCTTCGGCGTATTTTGTGTAAAACAAAGACAGGTAAGGATAAATTGTACTCTTTACTTTCTCTGGCTATATGATGCTATTTTATGAACCAGAGTTAGTCTGCAAGATGAAAAAAAACCCAAATAAAGATAAAAAATGAACTAGTTTATAAAGAAGAAATATGTGTGATATGCATTTTATTATGGCCATGTCTGTTGTAGACCACAGCTAGTCTTTTCATTCAATAGCATTCAAAACTAGAATCTTCTTAATTAAAGAAAAAAAGTACCTTGCATTTCATTTTCCTTTAAAAACTGTATATCTGTTTACCTCTGGCAATTCTGAGGAGGCGTATCATCAAATATGATACTGTAATCCTTAAAAAGTACATGCAAACTTCTTATTTCTGAGACATTCATAATAAATAAGAGCTTCAGTTACTCTCCATCAGGGTCTTTTGTGCTTATTCTTTTCTGGGAATGCTGGTTAGTGGCTTCCTGATACATGGTGCTAAATGCTCTTTTGAGGCTGCTGGTATACTTAAGATTAATTGTGGGTCATGGTTTGAGCCCAGTGTGCTAGTCTTTTATGTGTGTGAACTTTAGCGTATCTGGAAAGGGAGACTTCTTCATGTCTTGGCATTCTTGGTTGCAAAATTTCAGCCAGAAGTGTAAAAAGATAATGAATTTGTCTTACTGGAAATATTCTTTAGATTTATTTGAGGTATGAGTATGGCTTCTGTTGTCACTCTGTTCTGGTCCCTTATCTTGGTTCTGGTTCCTTTCCTGCTATCCAGCAGTTAAAGTTCCATGTGTAGCCAGTGTAGGAAAAAAAGGCAGAGCCATTGAGGATGTCCTGAGAAGAGCAATGGACGTCGTATCATTAGGAAAGAATGTGAAAAAAAAATAATGTGAGACAGTTTTACCTTCATTGTATAATTTGAAATTTCTGTAATACTGCTGTTACCTTCATGTCCATAGTGTACTCCATCCTCCCTTCCCCCCCCATTAACTCTTCTAGGAGATTATCTTTGTGAAGATTTGGGTTAGATGTAATTTTCTGCAGTAACCAAGCAACAGATTAATTCTTACGTATAGGAAATGGGTATGATTTGAATATTCACGTTACTGAAGGCAGAAATGACATAATACCAATAAAATATACTAACATTGTCATTTTAAAATCAGTAAACTTATGATTAAAAATGCAAGCTTTGTTTCCTGTAAACTTTGTTTTGAAGTTGAAACACTATAAAGAAATATTATAGTGGGCCAAAGCAGCAGTTACTCTTGTGAGGCACATGAATACGTGAAACTGGCTTTTTTAAATGTTAGATGCAGCTGTGATATCTACTAGGTGTTCCAGTGTTTTAAAGTATAATGCTGATGTTGGCTGTGGGATGGATGCAGGCATATCCTGTTTAGTTTAATTTTCTTTAACACTGTAAAACAGTGATCATGTTTCCAGAAGAACAGAGGTTAGGCTCTGGGCTTTTCTTCTTTACCGTGGTATGCTGCAAGATGCAGATGAGAATCCCGTAACTGAGTTGAAAAAGAGGGGGTAGTGCATTATGGTAATTTAAGTGACAATCAAAGAGATATGAAAGCTTTCAGGATTAGTATAAGAACGGGATAGTATGTTTTAGACACATATCCCTAGTTAACACTGAGTAACCTGTATTAATTTTTAATTTTCAAGCTTTTTTTTTTTTTGATTTAATTAAATACAAATTGAAACCATGTTCTGTGCTCATGAGATAATGAGAGCTTCCTTAAGAATGAACCGTTCGGTGTTGTTGCCATTATCAAACTGTAGCTGTTTATTTTGTAGTTTTATCTGGACTATATAGGTACCATATAAGAAATGGTTATGGTATATTTTTTGGTGTTCTCATTAACCATCTCTCAAGGAGATGATTATTAGAGCTCTTTATCAGGTAGTAGGGATGGAAAAAATTGGCTAAAAACTAATGTTCCCTCAAGTTGTACACATACATGCAATTAAGAGAAACTGGAAATTAGCAGAGTCTTAAAAGTAATTCCAATATTTGATGTACAGAAATTGCCACTACTGTCATAGCACTTGTAGTTTTATATCGTCTCTGTTGAAATCACTAAAGCTGAACCTACCTGACAAGAATGGAATTTGGCCCTGTAGTCAGGGATTTGTGGCATTTTGCATAGTGTAATTTGGCTTGTTTGAAGTAAATGTCCTTGTGTTTCTATGATTGAAAATGTGTATGTCTCAATTTTTTGGCCATACACCTATGATTTAATTCCCATGCCATCTATCGCCTTTCAAAACCATTTGTTGAAGCTCTTCTCCATGTACAGATCATTAAAATGGAAGTCCCAGGAGCACAGAAAAATACTTGTATATATCTGTGTTTATATGCATGTGGGGTACCTGCCGAACAGCTGGAATAATGTCTGAAAAAAAGCATAGCAAAACTTTTTAAAACTGGTCAATTACATTACTCATGTTTCAGTTGTGTGATTCAGGAAGGGTCCTTCCAACCATGGTGTGCAAGTCTGCTTTACCCATCTGCTTAATGCTAGAATAGCAGTTAAAGCATTTTTGGTTATTTTCAGCATGTCAGTCGGTTGCTACATACTACTCAGTTGTCTAGAGACTTTCTATATTCTGATTTTCACTATTTTTTGATATATTTCAAAATTACATATAAAAATAAACCAAGTATTTATTGAAAAAATCTTATCAAGACAGTAATTCATACAGCAAAAATATAAGGGGCATTTTCTGAGTTTTGGGCATTGGATTTAAAATAACAAAAATATAGTATTATAAAATGAACTTATAAAGGACCTAATTTATATTAAGTCTAGGATGTATGAACTCAAGTATGAATGCAAAGATAAAAAAAGACTACCAGTGCTTATGCAGTAACAGTAACTTAAGCTTTAAACAGAGATCATAAGCAGAGTAGGCATACCCAACGCTTTAGATTAAATGTGAAAGTGTGTAAGGGAGACCTCTCAAGCTGTGTGGAAGAATACGTGTAAGTAAATGTCTGTAGGTCTCGCACGTGGTGTGTATGTGTGTGTGAACACAGTGTTTTTTCTTTTTCTTTTTTTTTTTAAAGTTCCTAATAGTATGCCTGGAATAAATGATTAAGGTACTAGAGAAACAATATTAAACCATTTATTTCCAGAGCGGAAAACATGCTATGGCATCTCTGGAGCAAACTGGCTAAAATATTTGGCTTTTGAAAGTATGGAATGAGCTTTATGAATAGGCAATGTATTCTAGTCTTACTGTTACAGAGGATCATATACTTAAAAACGAAAACAGGGACCAGAGGTAACAAAACAAATGAAAATTAAGGAACACTGCTAGATTAGTTGCTTTTATTTGAATGAGAAGTGTTTTGGAGACTCAAACTGCATTTAGATAGAGCAAAGTAGTTAATTTGCAGTTGCATTGGCAACTAGTAAAGTAATTTTGTAATGTGATATTGAAAATGTGGCAACAATAAGAAAACATTTTTCAGAAGAGGAGGAGCAGAAGTAGCTACATAAAAGGAGTAGCCAGTGCCATTCAGAATCAAATGCAGAACCAAATGCAGAACAGGAGATTAGCAGTATGTGAAAGAGGATTGAACAGGAGTTTGTGTTGGTAGCACTCTGAAATAACCTTGGTTGTATTAATGTGCAGCCTTAATGAAGGAGACAGTGTTGTAACTAAGATGTCCCTACCTAAAACTATATTTCATGCTGAATAACAGTAGTGTTAATATGCGTAGGAGGTTTGACGTGTATCCATCTACGTATCTATCTATAGATATATAAATGAGAAATCCTTGCCTTAGTTTTTTCCCTTTTTATATTTAAGCTTTGCTGATAAATTCAATCTAGTTCGCTTCTGTGGAATAAATCTAACTTGCCTGACTTTGAATAAGTTATTTTTACTAAAGGGAATGTGAAGAAGCTTCAGTGGGACAGGTCAGTGATAAAAACTCAGAGACCATTCCCAACTCTGATACTGTGTAGCTGTATGTAACTTTGGGCACGATATTTTTTTTTTTTTTTTTTTTATGATCCTTAGTACATCAGTCCACACAGGATTCATTTCTCTAATCAGTACTCTGGTTACAACAATAATAGACATGCTCCAGTTAGCTGTAAGGGGATATTTTGAACCTGTATTCACAGAAATATTTTTTATTGCTTAAAACATACTGACCTTGAATTATATGACATAATGCAAATTTTGCTTTTCAGTATTCATATATTTGAGCCAAACCTACAAATTCATGCTTTATAATAATAATGAAAATGGAAACCTTTGTGCACATATTTGATTTCCATGCATATATTCTGAATGCATTACTTCTCTGCTTCCAAATCAACATTTTGTGTTTTGTTGATGTGCATATAATTTAAGATTTGTGTGAAAGAAGTAGAAGTCACAAGGTGGTTCAATTAATTTATTTCATGTTTTTCTCTAAAAGCAAACAACACCAAAACTTTGCTAGGCAGGCCCTGTACAACTGAAATCCCATGGAAGCCGAGAAGGAAAGAAGAAAAAGAGGGAATTGCATCTGTGTAAAAACTGGATAAAAATGCCTGTTTATGTTTAGAATAAAAACATTACGTATGGAAGTATATTACTACCTGATAACTTTTCTTCAGCTTGATGTGTGTGCTTGCTACCATGAATGGTCTTGCTTGGATTTCTTTGGTGAATGGACTGTTTGAGTACATTAGCAAATCACAATTTGTGATTATTTTCCAAAGGTAGTAAATGATATCAGGATCTATTTGTACTATTTTTTCAGAATTTTTTACTTTCTCAGAGTGATGTAACAGCAAAATCTCTTATGGACAATATTGTGTGGAATTCTGAAATGGTTGTTGGAGGAATAGCCTAGCTAGCTTTAAGATGCAACTTATTCAAGTAATATAATTCATGTGTGGCAGATGTATGCTTATGAAAGCCATCCTATTTTGCTGTATGCTGATCTAAAAGTTTCTAAGCTGATGCTTGTGAAAATTTGAGTGCCCCAGAAAAGAATGAATTAAGTGGATCAAAGGATGCATCATTGAGCCTTTGGGCAAGTAAAAGTTCAAAACCAGACCACCTCAAAAATATATATTAAAAATGTCTGTGTTTTAAAACTGGTGCGATTTCACATCTAGAGAGTTTTCTATTTTCAGATAAAATAATATATGCAAGGAATGTTCAAAATTACACAGCCTGTTAAAAAAATGGCATTACTAGTGGCTTCTTAGAAATTCCTGATGACTTTATTGCTAACACTTTCTGCTGAGGAGTTTTTGTAGACATTGGTCAGTTCTGTAGTATTTGAAATAAAAGTGTTAACTTTACAATTGATTAATGTGCACATAGCTTTAATCTTTAATTATGATGTTTAAACCATGTTAATATAAAACCTGGTTTATCTAAGTTAGTGCAAGCATACTGTAATGGAGTTGTACCCTACAGTTTTGTGATGGGGAGTAAGCTAAACAGATGCTACAATCTAAAGCTCTCTAAAATAGCTGTATTATTTTGTTTTAAAATTTTTTCATAAGAAATAGTTATTTATACTATTTGCACCAAATAGCATTTGGACAGGGGACTTTCAATACTTTGTATGTTTGTGTTTTTTTTTTTTTTAATAACAGTTTTATATCATGGAGTGTGAAGTGTTTGTGAATTATAAGGCTTTCTGATAATAAAATACTCTGTTACTATACATGTGCATGTTTGCACAGTTGCACATGATTGAATGTTGTAGATCAGCAAGTTGCTGATCAAAAACCATTTTGAATTGGTTTCTGGATTATGTAAAGAGCACTTGCACGATCAGTTAGTTATAGTGAAAACAGCGGGTAAGCAAGTATTCGTTTGGTCATTGGCATATGACTGGTTTATTTGATTTTTTTCCAGAATATTTTGAACTGGTATTGCAACTGTTGATGTCCTGGTTTTGATTTCTGAATTTAAAGGTTATCCCACCAAAAGAGTGGAAGCCAAGAAAACATTATGATGATATTGAAGATTTGGTGATTCCTGCTCCAATTCAGCAGATGGTCACTGGCCAGTCAGGGCTATTCACACAGTATAACATTCAGAAAAAGCCAATGACAGTAAAGGAGTTCAAGCAACTGGCCAACAGTACCAGGTATGTATATGGGGGGGTGTCTAAGCAATTGGTGATTTTTATTTTTTTTTTTTTTTTTTTTCCACTCAGTAGAGGTTTTTCTGTCTCCTGCGTTAAGGGTACCACAGCATTAATCTTGTTTCTGTTGTTGAAAACATGACAGTAAGAAAGCATCTGAAAAACCTGAGACACAATGCTTTCTACCTTTTTTCTTTCTGTTCTAACAAATGCCTATAAAGAAAATAACAAACATGATACAGACAGAGTTTCAATTTGAGTACAACTATTGATGTTTAATTCTTTTTTTTCTGCCTAGATATTGTACTGGCCTGTCATCATGTAATTCTGAAAAAAACCCAGCCCCAAAACCCAACAGGTTTTTTAACTTGCCCATAAGTTTTTGCATTAATCTAAACTGCGCTGCACTTTGTGAATGTCTATGTTCTGACTGTGGCAAGATGGATAGAATAAATTCTTCTCCATTCCTTTTGGTCACATAAAGAATAAATTCTGCTTCAGTATTTTCCCAAAACTGATAGGAAGTAGTTTCTGGAAGGTGAATCAAAAGATCCTATAGAGAAAAGATACTTGAATGTGATGAGGGAAGGTAACACTGCTCCAGTTTAAAGGAAAGTTTCTCTCATAAGTTAAATAACTTAATTGGTAAGAAGAGAAGCTGTTATCAAGATCAGGAAAAACTAGGACATGAATTCCTTTTAAAGAGGCTTCTCAGCAAATGTTTCATAATATCCATGGCCTAGTAAAAGTGCAAAACTGATCTCCTTTTTTCAGTTAAAAAGGATTGGTATGTTTCTGCCCCTATATTCCTTATGAAAACTTGAGGTTATCACGCTTACAGTTTTCTTCCTCTGGTAAGTAGGAATGGGAACCTATTTTATAATTCTTAGAATTACTTGTTCAGTAATAATATAAAACCTGTCAGGTATCTGATGTAATTTTCTGATACCTACTAATATATGCTTAAAGTTTCCATTTGATTAACCCATGAGAAACACTAATTTCTTAAAATAGTTTCATAATGCAAAAATGTTGTGAAGGTTTTAATATGTATCATCATGTTAGTTAAGTTCATTATATGTTTATCATTATTTTGGAAGTGTTTCTGTGTTTTTTGTTTTTGATTTTGTTTTTTTCAGAAAGTTTTCATCTTTTTTTGCTGAAATCAATTTACACCTTCATTACAGCAGTGAATTTAAGAACAGTTGTGAGGGCTTTTATCTATTACTAGCTGTATGTCTTTCTAAATATTAATCTATTATTGAAAAAATATCATGCAACCTCTTGTGACACTTAATGCAGTCTGTATTTCTTAAACTATTAAGTAGCTGAAGGCCCCTATTTTACCATAAAAATAATTTTGTTCTTTAATGCAGAAGACTCTTCTTCAGTGTTGTGATCATATTCTTTTGGAAAGAGAAAGGCCATGAATATCTGAGTTAAATCATAGTTGCTGTTAAAAGGATTGTGTGTGCCTAGTCTAATGCATTGCATCTTTTAATTTACACATTTACTTTGTTGCATTTGCAGTTCAGCATTGAACCAAGGTGCTTCTTCACCTTGACCTCTGGAAAATACGGGCATACCTGCATCCTGTAATCAAGCTACTTCTGTTACAATACTGAGTTTATGTATCCATATTACTCAGTGCCAAAACCTGTTTTCTGGAGCCTCATGATAAATTATTGAAGCAGCTCCATTGCTGAGATTGCTTTAGTTAAGATGTTTTGCTAACTTGCTTGTCTGTTCTGTGTTGCTTCATGATGTAAATGTACCTGGTCTACTTAATTCTTGCATGTATGGATTTTTTTTTTTTTTTCCCAGGAGTTGAGGTCTATGTAGTAAGTTGGCAGTGCTAATGTGAAACATTACTTCACAGTTGCAGTAATGGGGAGCAGATTTTCTTTTCTGAAGACCTAAATACGGGGGAATAGAGGCCTGACAAAGAATCCTAAGGCAAAAGCTATTTGATGGATGTTTTCTGTGGTACTGTGCTTGTGTTGTATTCCCAAAAGTTTGTACAAGAGGCTTGAATAACCTTCCAAAAGTATATATATAATTGTATTCATGCTATTAAAAGTATGGTGCTCAATGACAGGCAGAATTAGCACACTTAAGTTGTTCTGAGACAGGCTTTTGCAGGACCTATTACTGTGTTTGCAGAGTTGGTAGTGAGGCAGGTAAATAATAAATACTTGTCAATGAAGTGGCTTTTCCATGTGTGCCTTTTTCATTGAAGAGAAACAAAAGGGAGGGCCTCAGCCTGAGCACAGTCTGTAGATGTGCTGTTTAGCTCTTCGAGGCTAAAGGAAGTATTTCATGAGTAGGTGTATGACTTCAGTTACTGTAGCTGTCAGGTTATATATCTTTGTCATGAGGTTACATGCTATGGTGAATAATGAAACTAAGAATTCAGGACAACTACCAGTTCCCCTGTTTATATGTATATATATATAATATATATGAAATATATATTATATAAAATATACATTATTTATATAAAGCAATCTCTTAGAATTCAGTTTGCAGGATCAGAAGCATATTCCTTTGTGAAGGTGGTTTTCGGAAGGCTATGCTGAACCTTTGCCTACCTCTTCCTCTGCAGATACTGCACCCCAGGATACGTAGATTATGAAGATCTGGAGCGTAAATACTGGAGGAACTTGACTTTTGTGGCACCAATTTATGGAGCAGATATCAATGGGAGCATTTATGATGAAGTATGCTTAACTTTTTATGAAGTTTATCTCTTCCAGCCCTTTTTTTAAGGGTACTGCACTTAGAAGTTACATTCTTGCTTTGTGACAGAGAATCTCTATTTCCTTTGAAATCTTAATGTTACTCACTTTAAAGACTCCAAGCAAGGTTCAAATTAACTTTACATCTGAAAGAGTCAAGCAGTTCTGTCCTTAGTAGGATATTGCTACTGTTACTGATCATATGACTCCCCAGTCATAATACTCTTCCCTTTCTTCAGTTTGAACTCTCCAGAACTTTGAGATTCCTTCTTATTTATTTATTAACATTTTAGTATGCTTGTTGTTTACCTCTGTAGAAATTGAGTCATATTTTAAGTAACTTTTAATTTAAAATTAAAATATAAAATACTTAATTTCTCTCGTTCACTAAGAAAGATTGTTCATTGTGCTTTCTACATTCTTGGAATGCCACCAATTTCCTGGAAATGTGTTCTGAATTAAAATAGATGGCATGGAAACTTCCTAAGCAAGTTATTTTTGCTGGTCATGTGCCAAGATCTCCATAGATAAGAAGGGATTCTTAACACGTATCTATGTTATCCATTGAATTAGAGAATATCCATTGATACCAATTACACTATGTAAGCAGCTATGGGAACTAAATTTTGAAGGGATTATTTAAGTAATGAGACCAAGAGAAGAAATGTTAGGATTTAAAAAAAAAGATTTGTTTTTTTTTTTTTTAAATACAGGGCAGAATTTTCTGCAGAATAATCTATCATGGAGTTCTTGAGTTACTTCCTGTTCTATGTAACTGCCTTCTGCAGTCATTTAAAAAAAAAAAAAAGTCAGAATTTCACTTTGGCAGATGGTCTGAGGCTTGGCTAGCGTTTCATATTTCTTCACAGAAGATAAAGTACTTGAAGACTCTGTCCAAAGATAAACATGGTCAGCCAGTATGGCTTAAGGCAATTCAATTTTTGCAGTATGTTACATGGTCATTGAAAGATAGCTATGAATGTCCAGTTGTCTATTGTTAGAGAAAACAGAAAGTCCTAATTCTGTTGTGTGTCCAAATAGTTGTATAAAAATGATAATGGGAAATAGCAAGATTTTGGAGTGCTGTGGTGAAGAGACATTCTACTTCAGTGTTGCTTTGTGGAGATCAGAAATGGGGCACAGGAAAAGCAGATTTTTTTACAAGAAATTGAAGCTGCCTTTTTTCTTCTCTGATACTTTTTTTCTTATTTAATGTTGGCGGATAATGCCTTCTGGTGTAGCATTTTAGAAATGTGTACTTTGATTGTTTTCTTTGGCTTTTAGTTTCTTAAAGTTACTGTTGCATGAGCAACAATTCCAAAGAAAAGAGAATGCAGTAATATCCGATTTTGAAGTATTGACTGGTCAAAGAGAAGGTCAGAGATTTCCTTCTCATAGGATTGGTCTGTCGTTAGACTGGGAGGCTGAGGAAGCAGCAAGCGAAGTGGGAAGAGCAGAATTCAGTAATCCTAACTCAGGTGTTATGTGTCTAGGAAGAGGAGACAAAGGAAGCACTGAAAGTTGCAGGGAGTGGGAAATAAAGTAGTGGGTGAGAAAAAGGTAACAGAATAAAGAACCCCTGAATACCTATGATTGGGTGTTATTTAAAAATAAACAATAAAGGAGAAATATCAGTGAAAGGAATAGAAAGGAAAGTGTGTAAACAGACTGCCCAGTTAATGTAGCAGCCCAGTGGGGTTCAGAGGAACAAAAAAGGGAAAAATCCCTGGTACCAAACTGGGTGAGAGAATGATGCTGATGGAAGTATTTTTTCTTAGACTATTTTTGCCGAAGTTAATTTTTGGCCAGCAGATGGTGCACTTACACAACCAATACTTCCCGTGTCTTCACGCTTGAAGATTGTGCTAAGAAAAGATCTTTTACACTGTTTCGAGTTAGTGGTTGTCCTTAGGTCTGCATTCAGTTACCTTCAGGATTGTCATTATTCTGGGAAAGGAGATGAGCACAATTAACTGACGTTTTGGGCAACATACAGGAGAAAGGGCATGGTGGGATTAATTTGTTGTCATAGCCTGTTTGTGATAAAATCAAATGATTGTTTTTTTTCCAAGATGCATTTGATAGAAAACAGTGTGTTACAGATGTTGCATTTAATATGGAAACGGAAATACCTGGCAGAATTCCACATAGAAAACCACCAGGAACTTAGTGAAACTGTGATGTGTACATGTACTTAGGCTATCAAAATTAGTGAGAAATGCTGCTGTGCTGCAAGTCCTTATGCTTTAGGTTAAAAGTTTACCAAGTATGTATTCTTTCCCACATGGTGACGTTCAGTTTTGCATTGAGGCATCTGTGTCTGAAGCATGTTGAAGCCTTACTTTTTACTATTTATATTATTTAAGAAACGATATTATTTGTGAATCCAGCACAGTGGCATTGTGCCAGAGAAATCATTGATCATGTAGCAGTGTTTGTTTTTTTAGATAAGAGTATGACAGATGCTGGGGGTTTGGAATATGGGACAAAGTTATTGTCTAATATCATCTGGAACAGCAAAAAAAGAAAAAAAACAACCCAAAACCAAAAATCAAACAACAGAAACAAAACCCATGAAGCTAAATGCATGCTTTAAAGCTTGACAGCTGCTATCAATGATTTAGAAGTTAGCCTCATCATATTTGGATTATTTCAGAATTTCTGTTGTGTATTTAGAATGTATTTATGGTTATTTGACAGTTTTGAACACCGGTTCTTTATGAATAAGGAAATAACCTATCAGAACAAATGTTCTGTAGACTGTATAGAGCTTTATAGAAAATAAAGCTAAGATAGTTGAATGTTTGCTTGAAATATTACTCAGTGCTGTACGTATTTTAATTGCTGTTACATTTAATTACAGTGCTTTGTAGGAGAATGACAAGGTAGGTGACTCAAGAAAAAGCAGTGCACTAAGGAACAGATTTAAAGGATCATTATTTATATTGAGATTATAAACATTATTAGATATATGTTCAAGGTTGTATCTTTCTGTTGCTATAAGGTCACCTGGACTTGAGTGAAAATTAACATTCCTGAAAGAGTTTATAATGTCAATAATAAAGCACCTATATATAGTCTCATTAGCTAGAGTTTAAAAACTGACTCATGAATGGATTTTTACACCTAATAGTTGTGATTGTTGAGTAAGTTTAATTGAGAAGTGATTATTTTTTTAATTATGTAATTTCAAGACAGGTGTCTTTCTGAGTTAGCATCAATGTAATGCCAACTTGAGCCATCTTAGACTGCAAATGACTAGCCTGTGGAATGGTTGTGAAAAAGATTTACCATTCCTGTGAGGAAGGGGAAGGAAGAGTGTTATTTTTTTTTTCTGATATAATAACTTTATTAACTCTTTATTAACTGTCAGTTGTACCTGTGAGTAAATTGAAGAGTGTGATTCATCTACTTCTGTACAGTCTCTGTTCTGGTGAACTACTGTTAGGCCTTCTACTTCCATGGCATTCCCAGCTGTTGTTCATATCGAGCCACCAGTTACCAAAGCCACAAATTGTTTCCTTGTATGAGATACAAGGAGCTCAATTTAACTTTTTGGTTTGCCACCTCTCTTTTTTTTTTCTTTTTTTTATCTTCTCTTTTGTTTCGCTGTGTCCTGGGTTCAGCTATAACAGTAACCATGACAGCCTGTTTAGTGTTTTTTTTTGTGTTTTTTTTTTTTTTCTTTTTTAATTGGTTTGAAATTTTATTTTTATGAACAGATGGGAAGGACATTTGAAACCCCTACCTGGACTGATCTAGCAGCTAGGGAATGGAGAAAATCTTCCTGGTTTCAAATGAAGTTCCAAAGAAAAGTAACTGATCTGATGTTTATAATGGGTCATAAAACACATTCGACTTTAGTGCTATCAAAGGCATTTGCTATTCAGTAGAGAAAAGCTAAAGTTGAAAAAAGCACTTGAAAATATTGTCTTGCCTCTCTCACCGCTGTTCTTCAGCTCCTTTCTTTACATCACTTTACTTCCCTTTTCCTTCTCTTTATTTCTTGTGGTGAGACAGTTCCTAATCCCTGCCTTCTCCCATGTCTTAAAATGTGGGGAATTATCTGATTAGTAATATAAGACTGGTGGATTCAGTGGTGTTTGTAGGCTAACATTTGGTTATTTTTGCTACATAGTAGGTGCAACTCTAATGTAATATTAACCCTTAAGACAGATACACTCGAATTTCCTGCTGTATCCCTTGGCAGAGTAGCTAACTTGATTTTTAAAGCAGCACTTTAAAGCAGTATATCCAGAGTTTGTATTTCACTATGAAGTGAGTTAGGGATGGCATCTGAGTTGTACCTTAACTACAGGCTACAGGAGAGTAGCAAGCATAAGCAATTGAAGACTCTGGGGAGCTTCACTGAGAAATTCCTGAGCAAAGCTGTCATCTGGACCTCATACTCCAGGAAGGACTTGTTGTAGATTCGAAGATTGAAGGCAGCCTTGGCTGTGGTGACCATGAATGGTGGGGTTTAGGGTCTTAAGAAGAGGTGTCAAGACAGAAAGCAGGACTACAGCCCTGGTTTTCAGGAGAGCAGACTTTGGACTCTTCAGAGCTTGGAAGAGTCCGATGGGATAAGGCCCTGGAGGAAAGAGGGGTCCAAGAAAGCTGGTAGGGACCTCAAGGATCAGTTGGTCCAGCCTTTCTTGGCAAAGCATGACCTACACAAGATGGCTCAGCACCCATAAAAAGGGAAGAGGGAAATGAGGATAGCATGACTTTTGGCACCTGAGACCAAGCTAGGGAACAACAAACCACAAAGCTGTCATGGTTTAAGCGCAGCCAGTAGCTCAGAACCATGCAGCCTCTCGCTTACTTCCTCCTCTTCCCCCCCCTGCTCCCAGAGGGATGGGGAAGAGAATCAAAAGGATGCGACTCCCACAGGTTGAGATAAGAACAGTCCAGTAACTAAGGTATAACACAAACCACTACTGCTGCCACCAATAATAATAATAATGATAAGGGAAATAAAA